AACAAAAACAAGGGGCCAATGCTGTGGCGTAGTGGGTTAAGCCTCTGCCTGCAGCACCAGCATCCCATATGGGCGCCCGTTCTAGTCCTGGCTGCTCCACTTCAGATCCAGCTCTGGGTCCCAAGCTGTGGCCTGGGAAAGCAGTAGAAGATGGCCCAAGTGCTTGGGCCCCTGCACCCACCTGGGAGACCCAGAAGAAGCTCCTGGCTCCTGGCTTCAGATGGGCCCAGTTCCAACCATTGCAGCTATTTAGGGAATGAACTAGAGGTTGGAGGATCTCTCTCTCTGTCTCTCCCTCTCTCTGTCTGTAACTGCCTCTTAAAAAAAAAAAAAAACAAAAAGCAAAAAAGAATGAGCTCAGTCTGACTTTCTCTGCATTGCACATGTGTCCACTGGTGGCCTTTGTGCTACGGGGTGACACAGCAGCAATTCCTAACCAGGTGCTGGGGCTGCGTTCTTAGATGTCCAAGGGATCTGGCTGGCTCCAGCCCACAAGGACAAAGGTGTTCCATCACCTGTGTCCACGATCAGGGTGATGGAGAATTCACAGGCTGTGTTTGGGTCCAACAGAAAGAGGCGTGCGATCAATTGGAGATGCCTGCTGTGGGCTCAGGAAGGGGGAGGAATGGCACAGGAATGACCCATTTGCCAAATGTGTTTTTAACCGAATATGCGGGGCCAGCATTGTGGTGCAGAAGGTTAATTCTCTGCCTGCAGCACCTGCATCCCATATGGGCTCCAGTTCGAGTCCCAGCTGTTCTACTTCCAATCCAGCTCTCTGCTATGGCCTGGGAAAGCAGTCGAAGATGGCCCAGGTGCTTGAGCCCCTGCACCCATGTGGGAGACCCAGAAGAAGCTCCTGGCTCCTGGCTTCAGATCAGTTCTGCTTCAGCCATTTGGGGAGTGAACCAGTGGATGAAAGATAGCTCTCTCTCTGTCTCTCACTCTCACTGTAACTCCACCACTCAAATAAATAAATAAAATCTTTAAATAAATACATATGCTCACTCTAAGGATTAACAACCAACACCTGTGTCTTCCATACCATACGGTTATGGTATTTCGTGTACTAAGGACATTTCAACCATTTGGGGTCGTGTCTCCCAGGACCTTGCATTTGGGGTGTCTTGGTCATGGTGACGATAGTAATGGGAAGATAATGGCAATATGCAGGGGATGCCAGTGATAGCGCAGCTGAGCCTTCCTCGAGGCCTCGGTGCCAGTCTGGTCCAGTTGGTCTTAGACTCCTCAGCGGCTCCTGTCAAACACGGTCATCAGCCTCCTCTTAACAGATGGCGAAAACAAGGCATGCGGTCCACGTGCGGTGCAGAGCGTGGGACCTCAGCCAGCAAACCAGAAAGATCCCGCGTTTCGGAGTCAAGCAGACGGGGGCTCAAAGTGAGCCGCACCCTCAGCCGGCAGGGCAGCCCCTCCCGGGCTGCCACTTCCCTTTCAGAAAGAGAGAGCAGGAGCAGGGATGGGACACGGCCGTGCCCGTGGAGCAGCTCCCGGCAGGTCTGGGCAAGCACGAGTCCCACCTGCTTACTCCCGCTGGGTCTGGTCCCAAGCCCTGCGAGATGCCCTCGGGTGTCCTGCCCATGGAGAGACCTCCCAAAGGGACAGCGAGCTGGCCTGCACGGTGGGGGTGACCTGCTCTTCCCAGTCCTCGACCCCTGGGTGAGAACGCCCAGGCCCCCGTGCTGAGCCACCGTGAGCCTTCCCCAGCCCAGCCCTGAGCCGCCGGCACGGCGCTGTTTCTTGTGGCTGCCGGCTGGTTTCAGTTCTAATCCCCGCTGTGGCTTGCCACACACTCTGGGCTCCTCCGGGCCTCCCTCTACTCCCTGGGGAAGCCTTTGCAGCTGTCCACCAGGTGGACCAACTCCAGGTTGCTTCCATTTCCACGCTCAAGAGTCACGGCCTCCCGAAGCCCCCAGGTCCCCCTCACAGCGTTGGCCTCGGGACCTGCCCAGAACGCTTTCGAGCGCCTCTGAGGCTGAATGCAACTGCACACGAGTCTGCCCGCAGAGATGGAGTGTCGCGCCTCTCGTCTCTAATAAGCAGCTGAGTCAGTGTCCAGTTAAAGAATTTCAAGGGGCCGGCGCCGTGGTGTAGTGGTTAAAGTGGCCGCCTGCAGCGCCAGAATCCCATATGGGCGTCTATTCAAGTCCCAGCTGCTCCACTTCTGATCCAGCTCTCTGCTGTGGCCTGGGAAGGCAGTGGAAGATGGCCCAAGTCCTTGGGCCCCTGCACCCACATGGGAGACCTGGAAGAAGCTCCTGGCTCCTGGCTTTGGATCAGCACAGCTCCTGCTGTTGCAGCCATCTGGGGAGTGAACCAGCGGATGGAAGACCTCTCTCTCTCTCTCTCTCTCTCTCTCTCTCTGCCTCTGCCTCTGCCTCTCTGTAACTCTGCCTTACAAATAAATAAATAGATAAATAAATATTTATTTCAAAAAGCTCTAGGGCCATTTGTCCTTTAAAATACAATACAGTGATTGTTGTATTACCCTTCCTCTCATCGAGTCAGGGTGGAGTCATTCCTGGCACATTTTAAACCCCGAGTAGTTAAGGAAATGCCGTATGCGCCTCAGGGACTTGATAAGCGCACCACAACCGATGTGCGTACTTCTCCCTTCTCCGCGCCTGCGCTGTGCTGTGCTGTGCACTGTCGATGCTCTCACTGTATCCTCACATCTGCCCATCAAACGCCTTCCTTGTCCCTTAACTTCTCGGGGGACAGAATTGAAACCTGAGCCTGGTGTTGTCGCGTAGCAGGTAAAGCCACTGCGCAGGACAGCAGCAGCCCACAGGGACACCAGTTCAAGTCCTGTCTCCACTGCCATGGCCCAGAAAAAGCAGCGGAAGATGGCCCGAGTGTTTGGGACCCTGCCATCCACGCCGGAGACCTGGAAGAAGCCCCTGGCTCCCGGCTTCAGCCTGGCCCCGCCCTCTGGGAAGCGAACCAGCAGATACAGCACTCTCTCCTCTCTCTCTAACTCTGACTTTCAAATAAATAAAATCTTTAAAAAGAAAGAGAGAACTGAGGCTCAAAAACATGAGGCCCCAAAGCTGTACATGGGGACTTGGGGTGCAGGCCCAGCCTGTCTGACACCACAGCAAGGCCATCGATCGTTTTAGATTTTTCCTCCTTTGACTTCTTGTCCTCCCTCTCTCCGTCTCCTGGAAGCGAATGGACGTGAACTACTTGGATGTCCTCCTTCTCCTCCTGGTCACCCTGTGACAGGCAGTGTGCCCTGGGTGGGGTAGTGGGCGGGAACCAAAGCTAAGGGACCAGGAGGGACATCTCAGACCGAATTCCTCATCAGAACCAAGCGTGGTCTACCTCAGCGTCCCGTGAGCGGCCCACAACAGGTGTCCCGGGAGACGCTGAGCTTGTGGGTGGCTCCCCCAGAGAACCACGAAAGGCTGGAAACATCCCGGGGTCCCCTAGGGAACCTCATTTTCAGTCCTGGGTCCCCAGGCAGGTGCATCTGGTGTTCCATACAGATTGCAGCCCCTGGCTTGAGGCGGTTTGATCTCCAGAGAGGCACACGACCAGGGTGAGTAGAACAGGATCTCCTGCTGACTTGGTCAGCTGCTGTTTTAAACTAGACTGCTCGTTTCTCCAAGTGACCCGTAGCCACTGAGAAAATTCCAGCCCCATGGAAACGTGTTACTTACCAACATTTCTAAATACATTAACCCTGAGCATGCGGCATCTAATCCTGTTCCCCACCTAATGAGATCAGTGCTACTGTACCCATTTCACAGAAGAGGAAACTGAAACACAGAGATGACGCAATGGCCCAAGAGCTGCGGGCAGAGCCGGGATGGAGATGCGGGCAATCTGTGCTCTTTATCCATCTGCCCCCTCCCCACGCTGCCCACCCCTGCCTCACGGAACCACCATGATCCCCCAGGCCACTACCAGGTCTCCCCGGTGGGGGGGACATCGGGATTAACCCCAATCACCGGCCACCTACACGATGTCAAACCTCTGTTTCCAAATCAGCTGCAACTCCGGGCAGGCACTGATCGGCCTGAGCCCAGCCCGGAACCCCTGCTCAGAGCCTGGCCGGGCCGGCCACCCCGAAACACTGAGTGGTTCCTGCGTGCGCGGGGTTTACAGAAGTGACTGGGACACGCCCTGCCTTCAAGGTGTGCACGATCGAGCAGGGGAACCACCTGGGGGCCAGGAGGTGCGCGGAGGGTGAGGGTAAGAGGGGTCAACCCTGTCGGGCCAGCAGCCCTTGGAGGGCAGAGAGACTGGGCCTCAAATTGGTGTAGAACCTTAAGAAAGGGAGGCTGGTAAGTGGCACTTGCTAATTGTTTGCTGTTAAAGGAAGAAGGGGAGGGTGTTGGGAAGTGGGGGGGGAGAAAGGGAGGGAAGGGGTACGGCAGATAGAAAAGAGCCTGCCTTGCGGGGGAGGGGAAGGGGCAGAGGAGCGACAAGGCCGGGGTCACTCACCAGCGTGATCACGTACAGGAACAAGCAGTGCAGGAAGCGCACCTTGGCGGGGTGCTGCATGGAGGCGGGGATGTGCGTGGTGAAGAAGTGGACCAGGACCACCCAGAGGAAGACCCCCAGGAGGAAAGTGGGCAGCCCCCACAGCAGCAGCCACAGCAGCACCATGGTCCCGAGGCTGCGAGGACCCAGGCCGGGAACTGGTGGGAAGAGGACCTGGCCGGTTATATGGGCGGCCGCCTCCACCCCACTCCTTCCGGGCTGTCCCTGACCCAGTGGCCTGACCTGGCTCCTTGGCCGTTAGCACAGGCAGGGTGATGCGGCTGGAGGAACCTGCCGCTGAGGAATGCGGGAACCAGGAGATCCCCCCACTCCGGTCAGGAGGACTCCTGGGAGGTGGGCTCCCCCAAGACTGCAGCCTGGTGCCCACCCCCCAGCTCCAGGGACCCCAGGAAGAGTCTCACATGAGTCTCCAGGGCCTCCATGGCCTGGCCCCTCTATTGTAAAACACTTCTGAGAGTTCATGGAATGAGAAGGTGAGTTTGGGGGCTGGTGTGGCACAGCGGGGTAAACCACCCATCCCACATCAGAGCCCTGATTCACGTCCCGGCTGCTCTGCTTCTGATCCAGCTCCCTGCTAATGCACCTGGGAAAGCAGCAGAGGACGGCCCAAGTGCCTGGGCCCCTGCACCCACGTGGGAGACCCGGATGGCGTCCTTGGCTGTCATTTGGAGAATGAACCAGCAGATGGATGATCTCTTTCTCTTTTTGTCTCTTCCTGTCTCTCTGTCACTCTGCCTTTCAAAGAAAGAAAATAACTTAAAAAAAAATGATAGTTCGCTTTGGTGCAAAAAAAAAGTTTGCAATGCATGCACAGTATTTTCGTAACATGCATTTTCCATGGCTTTTTAGAGTCCTCATACACACGGATTTCATTTTTTTTCTAGATACATAATTGAAGATGCTAATTAGGACCCACACAGCCCACAGCAAAGTGCCCGGGTTCAACCTTGGCTCTGCTCCCAAGTTCAGCTTTCAACCGAAGTGCTGCCCGGGGAGTGATGGCTCAAGTGACTGGACTCCTGCCACACACCTGGGAGACCTGCACCGAGTCCCGGCTCCCAGCTTTGGCCTCAGCCCAGCTCCAGCTGTTCAGGCATTCAGGGAATGACCCAGCACACGGGAGCACTTGCTTCATTCTCTCCCTCCCCCCTCCCTCTCTCTACCACATTAAAAAAAAAAATGTTTGCACCAAAATAAACTTACTTTTTAGTTCCATTTTCTACGAACTTTTTTAAAAAGATTTATTTACTTACTTGAAAGGCAGAGATACGGAGAGAGAGAGAAATAGAGGGGGGGGGGGAGAATTTTCCAGTGGCTGATTCACTCCCCAGTTGCCACCAGGCCAAAGCCAGGAGCCAGGAGCTTCTCCTGGTCTCCCACGCCGGTGCAGAGGCCTAAGCACTTGGACCACCTTCTGCTGCTTTCCCAGGCCATTAGCAGGGAGCTGGATTGGAAGTGGAACAGCTGGGACTCAAACCAGCGCCTATACGGGATGCTGGCACTGCGGACAGAGGCTTAACCTGCTACCCCACAGCGCCGGCTCCTCCACCAACTTTGTAAAGTATCCTCATAGGGACGCCATCGGCCTCTCTTGCAGGTCTGGGTAGGACAGGCAAGGCCCTCTCGCCCTCAGCCCGGTAGTCAGCTGCTCTAACCCTCATTTAATGCTCTGATCCAGGCCAGGATCAAGTCCTGCCGTTTCTGTTTACTGGCTCCGGGCCTTAGATAAGTTCTCTGTTCCCTGCACCTCAGTTTCTTGTCCAGGTGGTGGTGACGACCACAGCACCCAACGGAGGAGTGGGCCTGGTGCCCAGGAAGCACAATACATGCGTTTCTTCAATCAGCATGCATAAATGCTCAGGCCTGCAGTCCATGTCCCAAAATGGTCCTGTCGTTTCTTCCTCTCTTGGAAGAAAGCAACAGAGGCAAAAATTGGCCCCAAACCAGTCCTCGGCGCCATCTTTAGAAAGGGATTATGAGGCTGGATAAGCAAAGATCTGCCGGGCAAGGCGCCCCTCCCCCGGCCCGGGGACCCCCGGGGCTCTTTGCTAGTAGAGGACAAGCATGCGTCTCCAAGCGGGTTCTGGGCTGCGCGGCCTGAGCCTGGCCTGGCTGCAGGGCAGGACACAGAGGAGGTGAGAGGTAGGCTGGGCTCCAGCAGATGCAGCTGGATTCGGGCTACGCCTGCGGGTCCAGCACAGGCCCTGGGGCCGGCGTCTGGCACAGCGGTTGAGACACTGCTTGGGACGCGCACATCCTGTAACAGAGGGCCTGAGGCCAAGTCCCGCCTGCGCTTCCAATTCCAGCTCTGTTAGTGGACACCCCGGGAGACAGCACACGATGGCTCAAGTGCTCGGGTCCCTGCCACCCACATGGGAAACCCAGATGGAGTTGAGGTTCCTGGTCTGTCGCTGGCTGTTTGTTGTAGGCACTAGGGGAGTGAACCAGTGGATGGAAGCGCTCTCTCTCTCTCTCTCTCTCTCTCTCTCTCTCTCTTTTCTGCTTTCTAAATACATACAAATAAACAATTTCAAAATAAATGTATGTGTACATGCATACTTACAAGTGTCAAACTGGAGGGACTGTCACAGAATAAAACACTGAAGTAGGGGCTGGCGCTGTGGCATGGCTGGTAAAGCTGCCGCCATCAGTGTCGGCATCTCATATGGGCGCCGGTTCGAGTCCCGGCTGCTCCACTTCCGACCCAGCTCTCTGCTATGGCCTGGGAAAGCATCGGAAGATGGTCCAAGCGCTTGGGCCCCTGCACCCATGTGGGAGACCTGGAAGAAGCTCCTGGCTCCTGGCTTCGGATCGGTGCAGCTCTCGCCTTTGCAGCCATCTGGGGAGTGAACCAGCAGTTGGAAGACCTCTCTCTCTCTCTCTCTCTCTCTCTCTCTCCTTCTCCTCTCTCTGTGTAACTCTGACTTTCAAATAAATAAAATAAATCTTTTTTAAAAATCACTCAACAAACTCACAATCAAAAGGAACTTCCTAATAAAGAGCTTATAGAACAAACCCACAGCTAGCATCAGGCTGGTCTCCTACTGTGCGTGAGTCTCCCGTTGCTGCTGGACCAAACTGCCACGAACTAGCGGCTTAACCAGCACGCGCTTCCTATCTGCAGCTCAGGAGAGCAGAAGCCCAGACTGGATCGCCCCGGGAGACATCGAGGGGTCAGCAGGGCCGCGTGCCTTCCGGGTGCTCCGGCGCGGAGTCTGCCCCCTTGCTGTTGCCAGCTTCCAGAGGCAGCCGGCACCCCCACTCCTCACCCTGGAGATGGTGAACTTTATGTGTCGACCTGCCTGGGCCGCGAGAGGTGCAGATCTCGGGGTGTGTCGGCGAGGGTGTTTCTGAGTGAGATCGGCCTCTGGGCGGGCAAGCCAAGTAAAGATGCCTTCCTCAATGTGCGTGAACCTCACCCCACCCGTGGAAGACCTGGAGTGAGAGAGAGAGAACGCCTCCCGCCTGCAGACTCTGAGACATCAGCTCTGCTTCGGGCTCCGGGGTATCGGTCTTATTTTTGTCATTTAAGATTTGTTTATTTGAAAGAGTGACAGAGAGGGAGAGACAGAGACAGAGAGAGCGAAGGAGACAGAGTTTCCATCCACTGGTTCACTCCCCAAATGCTTGCAGAAGCCAGGAGCCCCAGGCGCCATCCAAGTCTCCCACGTGAGTGGCAGGGGCACAAGTACTTGGGCCGTCCTCCACGGGCTCCTCCACCCCGGCAGGAAGCCGGACCTGAAGCACGGCAGCCCGGGTTCAAGCTGCCACTCCGATATGGAAAGCGGGCGTTCCAAGCCAGAGTCTGTGTTCGCTGCACCACAACGCCGGCCCCAGCCTGCGGGCTCCGCTCTGCCCCACAGCGCTGGTCCCCTGGGTCTCCAGCTCACTGCTGGCAGCTCCTAGGGCTGCTCGGCCTCCACAGTCACACCGGTCACTTCTGTTCAGTGCAGAAGAGAGCAGTCAGTCTCAGCTCCAAGTGCGCCAGAGGCCTCACGTAAGAGCTAAAAGTACAAACCTCTAAGATAAGAACGTCGGAGTAAAGCTCCATGATCCGGGCTAGACAAAGCTTTCTTAGGGCCAAACTCGAAAGTCCAAGAAGCCACAGCAAAAAAAGAAACAAATTCAGCTTCATTAAAGTTTAAACTTCTGTGCACTGAAGGACCATCAAGGGTCTGGTGCTGTGGCATAGCAGGTAAAGTCGCCACCTGCAGTGCTGGCATCCCACAGGGCGCGGGTTCAAGTCCCAGCTGCTCCAGTTCTGATCCAGCTCTCTGCTGTGGCCTGGGAAAGCAGTGGAAGATGGGCCAAGTGTTTGGGCCCCTGCACCCACATGGGAGACCTGGAAGAAGCTCCTGGCTCCTGGCCTCGGATCAGCCCAGCTCCAGCCACTGCAGCCATTTGGGGAGTGAACCAGTGGATGGAAGACCTCTCTCTCTCTCTCTCTCTGCCTCTGCCTCTCTGTAACTCTGCCTTTCAAATAAATAAATAAATTATTTAAAAAAAAAAAAACAACATCCATAAAGCTGAAAGAAGACTGGAGAAGAGGAGAAAATATTCTCAGGTCTACAAACGCCCAAGAGCACACGAACAGATGCTCAACACCACTGGCTGTGAGGAGCAGGACCTCAACGCCACAGGGAGACAGCACGCCACACCCAGAGCTTGGCCGCCTTCAGAAAGACCGTCAGGTTCTGGATTTTTTATGGGTCCTAAGGAGGCAAGGAGGTGGCCAGTTAAACAGAAATGCCTTTTCTTGTGGGAGGGGGGCGGGAGCAGAGAGAGTGGGGGTTCTGCTCGCCTGGAGAGAGAGCGGGGCTTCGAAGCCCGTAACAGCTTCCCGTGGGCAGAAACGCACGCTCCTTGGAGGGACTCTGGCGTGTCTGGCTTCTGCCATCCTGCACAACGTCTACACAAGGGCTGCGGGTGCTCCTTTCTCGTGCTGGGTAATACTGCACGGAAGGAATCTAGACGTTTGCTTACCCACTCGCCTGTTCGTGGATACTTCGGCTGTTCCTAGTTTGCGACCCACAGGGACCAAGCTCCCGTGACCATTCCTGCCCCAAGTCACTTTATAGGCATCTTCACATGGATGAAAACGCAGGAGTGGAGACTCTGGGCCAGAGGCAGGCGTGTGTGTAGCTTTTAT